AAAAGAAAAGAAAAAAAAAGAGAGAATGGAAAGACAGAATAACAGCAGTTAATAGATAACGTTTACTGAGCACTATTATGAGCCAAATACCATGCCAAATACGCATTTAATCCTAGCAACCATCTTAAGAGGTCATTATGCCCATTTTATAGACAAAGAAGCTGAAGTTGTGAGAGATGAAGTTTCTTACTTGACCGAGGTTCCAAGAGATTAAATGGCAGATCCAAGCAGTCTGATTCCAAAGCCTGTGCTTTCAACTACTCCACAAAGCCACAAAGCAAGGAGGATGGTACCACAGATGGTATTTCTTACACTCACATGCACTCCCCTGTTTTCTCTTCACCCCAACCCTCAAAGTCCTGAAATGCTCAGAGCTCCAGAAGATCCCAAGGCCGGCCTGGTGGGACTCACTCCCACTCCCTGAAGAGATGTGTTAGAAAACAAAGGCCAGGAGGCAGCACCCTTCTCAGGAGGAGATAGCCATCATCAAGAAGGAACAGCCGAGGGCTAGGGCTGTGATGAATCGCTTGCCTAGATGAATAAGGGCCTGGATTCCATTCCCGGCCCAGAAAGAACCGTAGTGCTGAAGAGAACAGCTGATTATTACCCTGTGGCCTATCTACCTGCTACATTCTTCAGCTGCTCCCAAGCAACACCAGCCCGCCCTCCTTGTTCTCCAAATCTTCCTAGGTCCCACGCTCCCGTACCAGGCCCCACTGCTCCTCTTACTCCCAAAGGGCCCGGGGCCTTTCCAGAAAATATGTTCCCATTGTTCTATGATCTCCCATCACCCATCACCTCCTCGCTCTCCTGACGAACAGAACGTTACTTTGGTCCTCATCTTTCTTGAATCAAGGCTCAAATCTACTTCCAGACCTCTCCCGTGCCTCGCACCCTCGCAGCGGAGCCGGCCTCGCAGGGCAGGCTTTCTGGCTCCCCTCCCCCACACCCCCGGGGATTTTCTCCAGCCGGGCTGAAGGCCTCGCTTGTCCCCGTAGGCTTCCCCACATCCTAGCACCACTCGCCATAACTTTCTCTTCAAAAAACGCCCCACTTGGAGGCTGGAAGACATCTCCATCATCTCCATCAGTTTTCCTTTTTAAAATTTAAGTCAATAAGAAAACGAAGGCCCCGAGGAAGGCAGTGACTTGCCCAAGGTCACACAAGAGTTGGTAGTTGGATGACGGCAGAGTCAGGACTGGAACCTGGGGGACTCTGCTATTCTACTTTCTGGACTCCTCAGCACTGGGTTGAGGGCCAGGAGCCCCTCTCTCCCCAGAAGCCCCTTCCTCCCCTCAGGAGACAAGGTCTCGAAAATGCGAGGAAAAGAAGGGAGTCCCCTAGCGGTCCACAGGGGCACCCAGCGCTTCCCAAGAGAACAAGCGCTGGGTCTGGGGGAAGGGCACGGGGCGCACCACACATCCCAGAAGGGAAAACGCGGTCCCCACCTCCCCCTTGTCCCGCGGTAGCCTCCTCTCCTGCCTCTCTTCTTTCTCGACCTTTCTCCATTAACCCACCCTTCACTTCTTCCCTCCCTCCGACTCACCCAGCCCCAGCAACTCCCGTCCCCCTCAGCCTCCGGCCTCAGACCCCCGCAGACACCAAGCTCCATCATGGCCTTCTCCCCCAAATCCCCGCCCCCACCCACCTCCTGGGCTCCCCTTCCTCGCCCCTCGCTCCCCGCGGCCTCCCCGGGGTCCCGGGCAACCTCGTGGCCTCCCCGTCTCCCCGCCCCCAGCCCGGGCCGCAGGGGGCGCTGTGGGACCTCCCCGGGCCCTTCCACCCCCGCACGGGGACGTTACCATGCCAGAGCCTCCGAGCAGCTGAGCCGGCTCGGCCCACTCGCCAGTAAAAGCTGTTCTGATTGGCCAGGTGGCAGCCGAGAGGGCGGGGCTCGTGGGGGTCGCACCCCTTCGTGGCCGGGACTCCGGTGTCTCCCGCCGACGAGCGGGGCTCGCAACCGGGCCGGTGTGCTCGGGCCCGGGTCCGCCTCCGGCGCGAGAGCCAGGCCCCGCCCCCACGTCGCCGGGTCCGTGGCCCGCCCTCCGGGGGCGGGGCGCGCGTGCGCTCGCCTCTGATTGACGCCGGGCGGGCGCTGGGCTGCGCGGAGCCGCGCCGAGCGCTGTCCCCGGTCCTCGCCGCCTTCGCGTCTCTGCGACTCCGGCTCCTGCTCCCCAGCCGGCTGCCTGCGCTACACCCAAGGCCGCCGCGCCCTGGACGAAGACCGGGTATGGGACGAAGCGTCATTCCGTGTACCGGGCACGTTTTCTCTTCACAAAGCGTTTAAAAATGTTTAAGATGTCTAAAATGTCTAAAATTAATTAACTCAAAGCACTAAGCATAACCAACCAACCAAACAAACCGAAAATCCCTGCCCTCAGTGTGTGCAGGAGCTTCCCACTTAACCCTGAAGTTACTTTTTAAATCTGGCACCCACCAAGCAGTGAACTGAAGACAGCTGGTACCTGGTCTTTTATAGGAATAAAAAAAAGTGAGATAAATTATGTTGTGCAGATAAGGGAACTGTAACCCCAAACTGTTTAACGAATAAAGTCGAAGGTCTCTGGCTAGCAAATGACGAGGCTCCAGGAAAGCGACCCAGAAAAGAATTGAGAACCTTCGCTCCAAAGCCTGTTTCCTAAACGGGCGTGATGGCGCACACCTGTAATCCCAGCACTCGCGAGGCTGAGGCAGGAGGATCTTTGCTAGTTCGAGACCAGCCTGGGCTACAAAGTGAGCTCAGGGCCAGCCTGAACTGCATAGAGAGACCCTGTCTCAAAAAGACAAAAACAAACAAACAAACAAAAAAACAAAACAAAGCCTGTTTCCTTTAGGCATCAACACTTAACCTCAGCCCGTGCTCTGTGCCAATACTGTGCCAGGTTCCTTAGACCCAGACAACTCTGAACCTGGTCCCTGACTGCAAGGAGTTTAGTAGCAGGGTAGAGGTAAGAAAACATCCAAGTCGAAGGTTAAGTCCTCAATTAAAGGTGACAAGTGGCAGGAAAAGGAAGTGGGATTCCCTTCAGAGGCCACTACGGAGAGAAAGCTCATTGTGGTTTTAAATCACAGCAATACCTAGAAAGCCTCAAATGAAGACCTAGTTCTATGGTTTACAAACTTTATTACTGAGAACTCGAGACAGCAGAAGTGGTTCAGAGGTTCCATAAAGTGTCCTCTGTTATTTGAACAGGGTCTTTTTCTGTTGCCCAAGCTGGCCTCAAATGGGCTCAAGCAATCCTGCCTCAGCCTCCAGAGTAGCTGGGAGTATCACCACACCAGGCCTCCATAAACTTTTTTTTTTTTAGAGATAGAATCTTGCTTCAAACTTACAACAGTCCTCTTGCCTCAGCCTTACAAGTCATAGGCTTACAGGCAACCACCATACTTGGCCGCCATAAACTTTTTTTTTTCAGACGGAGTCTCACTATGCAGTTCAGGCTGGCCTTGAGCTCACTTTGTAGCTCAGGCTGGTCTCAAACTCCCAACAATCCTCCTGCCTCAGCCTCCTGAGTGCCGGGATTACAGGCGTGTGCCACCATCCCCAGAATGGCATAAACTTTTATAATGACATTTTAAGGGGTGTGTGTGTGTGTCCATGTGTGTGCCTTGTGTGTGTCCATGTCCTCCCTCTCTACCACTGATTTATACTCCTAAACCTATTTCTTGCCTTTTGTATGTGTTAGGTATTAGAACACAGACACATACTTTAAAGAGTCAAATAAACTGGGTATGGTGGCACATGCTTGTAATCCCAGCACTTGGGAGGCTGAGGCAGGAGGATCGTTGCAAGTTCAAGACCAGCCTGGGCTGCAAAGTGAGCTCAAGGCCAGCCTGAACTGCATAGCGAGACCCTGTCTCAAAAGACAAAAAATAAATAAATAAATAAATAAATAAAGAGTCAAATAATTGTATGAGATATGTTAAGATAAACATCAGACCCCTGCCTTCATTAATTTCCCCTCCTCTTAGGCCAGGGATATAGCTCAGTGGCACAAGTGCCTGGCTGGCAAGCACAAGGTCCTGAGTTTGATTCCTGGTTCCAAAAAAAAAAAAAAATCCCCTCCTCAGAAGGAACCATTCTCAGCTCTTTCAGCTGTCTCTTTTGGCATTGACTTTCATTATCTCTTTATTTTATTTTATTTTTTTTGTGGTACCGGGGATCGAACTCAGGACCTGCTCTTGCCAAGCAGGCGCTTGTGCAGCTGAACTACATCCCGGGCCCGACTTTCATTATCTCTGGACCTCCCGCAGTTATATTTCTCCCCACAGGCTGAGTAACCCAAGAGGATATTCTGTCCAGAGCCTACTCACCCCCTTGTAGACCATATTCTGCACCCTAAAATTCCCTTCCTAGCTTGCTTCTATGATCACACTAGCTTCTGCTTGAATCACTCCTCCCCAGGGAGACCTTGCTGATGTTGTGGGCCTCCCTGGGCTTGAGGAGTAGCCACAAGGCAACTGTTTACAGAGAGAGGCTCCGGCATAACAGGGTGCCATGGCCCCCAGTATGAGGCTCTCTCAATGCAGGACAAAGCCAAGAGCATAAAGGACAGGGTTCAGGCAAAAAGTAAGGTCTAGGGACTGCTGTTTTGTGGTACAGAATTCTAGAGTCTGAAAGGTCTAATTTAGAACCTAGCCTTCCAAGTCCTTGTGCAAGTAGATTTTTGTAAACATACGAGTTTAGAACATATTTTATTTAGTAATTTGTTAGCTTAATTCATAACATTGAAATATTTAGTATGTGAGTCTTCTTTTGGAGACTTGCCTCAGCCCCCACAAATATAATAGGGACAGATTTGAGGATTTAGTTCTTTCCCCTCTTCCCTCTCCACTACCTGTATATAGTTTCTAACTTCTATCTGCCAAATATAATTCTGTAATAGCATGTGTATGTGTGTGTGTGTGTTGCTAGGATTAAACCCAGGTAGACAAGCAGTTTACTACTGATTTGTACCCCCTGCCAGGAAGTAATCTTGGATCAATCCCACTGGTGATCTCCTTCCTTCCTCCCATTTTTTCTTTTCTTTCTTTCTGTCTTTCTTTTTTCTTTTTGAAACAGGGTCTCACTATGCAGTTCAGGCTGGCCTTGAGCTCACTTTGTAGCCCAGGCTGGTCTTGAACTTGCAGTGATCCTCCTGCTTCAGCCTCCCAAGTGCTAGGATTGCTAGGATTATAGGTGTGCACCACCATACCCAGCTGTTCTTTCTTTTTTAGAATTCCTAAATTTTGGATAATAGACCTACTGGACTAGTACTTGTAATTTCTTATTTTTCTCTCCAATTTTCCACTTTTTTATGTTATTTTCTGAGAGACTCCCTCAGTCTTACCTTTTCATTCTTCTGCATTTTTCAATATTTTAAAGATTGTGTTTATTTATTATATTGCTTTATTTTTAGAGCACCTTATTTTGTTTCAGATTGCATTAGCTTCTTATCTTGGAAGCTATTATTAAAAGTTTTATTTTATTGTCTTTTTTTGAGACAGGGTCTCGCTATGCAGTTCAGGTTGGTCTTGGCTCACTTTGTAGCCCAGGCTGGTCTCAAACTTGCAACAATCCTCCTGCCTCAGCTTCCTGAGTGCTGGAATTACAGGCGTGTGCCACCACGCCTGGCTAAAAGTTTTATTTTAATTTTTCTTCTTTCTGCATAATGTTTGTTCCAAGTTTCTTTTTCTATTATTTTTGTCTCTATCATGTTAAATTCTCTTCTTGGAATTCTCATAATCCTTGATTGTCTACTCACACTTAAAGGTAGGGCACTAAAGAGCTTATTAGAAGCCTCTGTGCCCCCTCCCCAGGTACACGAGTGGCCTTGTCACTTACGAGCTCTTCTGCACAGTGACCTGGCAGCGAGCCTCTGGTGTCCCTCTCGGTGGAGGCTGCCCATCTCTAGTCAGGAGAACCAATCAGTTGCCCTGCTATTGCCTTGGCAGCCATCTTTCTCTGGCCTGAATCAATAACTACTCATCCATCTGCTTTCCAGCTTTTTAAAATACTTTACTTTTGTCTCCTCTCCTGTTTCCTTTCCCTTGTAGATTTATGCCTTTAAAAAGTCTTTACTATAGTTTTAGTGGGTTTTCACTAGAACAAATTTAGATGCATATGTTCAATTCTACCATTTTTACCCAGAAACCTTAATTATAGTGTGAACTATTTTTAAACAGCAGTTTAAAACTATATACATGTATATGTCCTACATATAGAATTCCTCGGTTCATCAAACCAGGCTTCTTAACACAGAAGGATTGTGTAACACAAAGATGTCATGAAATTGAACTTAAAATTTAAATGCGTCCAAATAAGATACCATATGGCATTTATTTGTCTCAATGAGGTTCTGCAGAAAGGTTTGCTTGAAAAGAAGGATTGGCTGATTTTAAAAAAAGTTTGTAACCTGAGTGTGGTGGTACACACCTGTGGTGGTGCACTTGGGAGGCTTTGGCAGGAGGATCATTGTAAGTTCAAAGCCGGCATCAGCTACATAGTGAGTTCAAGGCCAGCCTGAACTATATAGCAAGAACCTGTCTCAAAATAAATAAACAAAATAAATAAATATGAAAAAGTTTATAATCATCTCTAGTGGGCTAGATATCACCTATGTGTGGCATTTGAACTGTGGTGAAGGTGTTGCAGGTGCCCACTAAACTGCCCATGGGAGAAGGGCTCAGAAGGACTAATGACTGGAAGAAACCCAGCCAAGGGACAAGGGCATGAAAAAGACTCACCACCTGAGAGAGGAGGAAGGATTATACTCTCCTGACTCCAACACCCCTTGCATTGTCTGTCTAGAGTTCCTATGCAGTTTTGGGCATCATATTTTTAAAAATCAGCTTTACTGAGGTATAATTGGCATATAATAAAATCCACCAATTTTAAGTACAATCCAATGAACTTTTACAAATGTGTACAATCATGTAACAGTCTCCATGACCATGACACAGAACATTTCTTTCCAATCAAAAACTTTCTTTATACTCTTTGTAGTTAGTCTCCTCCTGCCTCATCTGGCTCTTGGCATCTACTAAACTGCATTCTGCTACTATCCTTTTGCCTTTCTAGAGTTTCATATAAGTGGAATCAGAATTTGTAGGAGTTTTTGTCTGGCTTCTTCCATTTACTAACATGTCTTTGAGATTATCCATGTTGTTACACATATCAGTACTTCATTCCTTTTTAATGTGTAGCTTTCCATTGCTGTGACAAAATACCCAACAAACTCAATTTAGAGGAGGAAAGTCATGATGTCGGAGGTTCAGTCCATGGCAAGCAGGCTCCATTGCTTGTAGACCTGTGTTGAGGCAATATTTCATGACAGAAAGGCAAAAGCTTCTGGCAAAGCTTCTCTTCTCATGGCAGCCAGAAGTGGAGATGAGAGAGCACCAGAGCAGAAGGGGCCAGGGACAAGACATAATCTCCACGGACACAACATTTCCATGACCTACTCCTTCCAGTGTGGTCCCACCTCCTAAATTCCCATCACCTCCCAGTAATACCATCAAATTATGAACCCATCAGTGGATTAATCCACTGAGGAAGATTTGGCCCTCATGATCTTATCATCTTCTAAGAGCCCACCTCGAACATTGCTGCATGAATCAAGCCTCCAATCCAGCCTTTTGGGGGACACTCTTTTTTTTTTTGTACCAGGAATTGAACTCATGACCTCAGGTTTGCCAGGCAAGCCTTATGCCACTGAGCTATATCCCCAGCCTCAGGGACACTCATGATTCAAGCCGTAACAAATGCAAAGCAGTGTATTTCATTGCATGGACATACCGAAACTTGTTTATCCGTTCACCAGCTGTGGACTGTTGGATTGCAGTTGGGGCTATTACAAGTAGAGCTACTTATGAATATTTGTGTGTAGGTCTTTTATTTACTTTTATTGGGTAAATACTTAGGAATGGATTACTTGAGAATTAAGTTAATGTACATTTAATTTTTGCAAACTTGCCAAGCTGTTTTTCAAAGTGGTGCTACTACCTTACATTCCCACCATCACTATGTGAGTGTTTCACATTCCCAGCACCCTCAACACTTGCTATTATCCCATTATTTTTAATCACCTGACTCATTTTTATTAGAGTTGGTATCTTGTTTTTTTTTTTTTTTTCTTTTCTGGTACCGGGAATCGCTTGTTGGGGTTTTAACTTGCATTTTCCTAATGCACTGACTAATGATGTTGAGAATTTTTTCATGTGTGTATTTACCATTTTACATATCTTTTTTAGTGACATGGTACCTGTCTATTCAAATCTTTTACCACTTTAAAAACTGGATTGTGGTGGGGCATGCTGGCATATACCTCTATTCCCAGCATTTGAGAGAAGGAGCAGGAATATTATGAGTTTGAGGCCAGCCTGGACTACATAGCAGAACTTGTCTCAAAAAACCAAAACGCTTAAAAAAAACAACTCTGTAGTCTTCTTTTACTGAATTGTAGATGGTTCTTTATATATTTTGAATACAAGTCCTTTATCCAATATGTATTTGGCAAACAAGTATATTTCATCTAGTGGATTTCAATTAATTTTCCTTTATGTCTCACTGTGTGATATTGGTCTATTGTATTTCCTTCTTGAATGTTTTTGTCTGGTTTTAGTATCAAAGTAATGCTAACATCATTAAATAATTTGAGAAGTGTTCCCTACTAGTCAGTTTTCTGGAGGAGTTTGTATAGAACTGGTTTAAATGGTTTAAATCTAAAATGCCGCTCCCAAGTCTCATGTGTTTTCTAGGTGACGGGATCATGGGGGATGTTAGGAGTGGGAGCTGCATGGAGTTGGACCACCAGAGAGGAACTGGAAGGGTCTGTACTTGCCCCTGGCTCCTCCTTCTCTGTCTCTGCTTCCTGGCCACCCAAGGGTAAGCAGTTTTCCTCTGCCTTGCCCTTTTAAACACGCTGCTTCTGCCGTGGAGCCTGCCAACTGTGACCAAAATAGACCTCTCCTCCTTTAAATTATGAGTGTCAGATATTGTATCTCAGTGATCGGACAGTGACTAAAACAGAATTGTATTATTTTCTTCCTAAATGTTTGCCCTAATTCTCCAGTTAAGCTGAGGCTGGAGCTTGCTTTCTTCCCCTTTCTTTCTCTCTTTCTTTCTTTCTTTCTCTCTTTCTTTCTTTCTTTCTCTCTTTCTTTCTTTCTGTCTGTCT